ATACTGCTGACAGATATACTGTACGTGCAATGTTAACACGCGCAATGTTGACGAAGACCGTGGAGATGCACTCTTATACTCGCTATTCTAAAGAACAGACTGTTGGGCGCCATAAGGGAATTCGAGAAAAAATCCATTTTTGAGGGATCAGGAGATATGGCCTCATTTAAAGATTCTGCTGTGTCGTCTGCTATGTAGTACGTAGGGTGGCATCTGGCATCTAGATGTCCACGCATGGTCCACGGCTTTCGCCACGACAGAATGCCCATCAAAAGCTCGTCGAATTTATCTGCTTTCAGACCAAGTTTATTTACTAGAAAGGTAAAAGTGCTCGTACGCTATATGACAAGTTGTTAGCAGAAGCTGTAACAAGCCGTTTGCCTCTTCTCCCTTGTGTTCCTTGTATGTACTGTAACAACTGGTTATACCATCCTGGTTCACAAAGCTATTATTACTTGAGTGTATAGCTCTTTCCGCATTATTACGAGGCAAAATGAACAGAAATCTAGGAGTGGTCAAATTTAACCGCAAGTCCAAGCAAACTACCCCGGTGAGTGGTCACAGGAAACAGGTGTGGGCCACGGCTGCCAGGAGTTGACCAGAACGTGCTGCAGTCTAGCAGCTACTCCAACCCATATTATCGTGATGCCATTTAGTTCCCTATTATAATTCAATTGTCCGAGGTCAAGCATTAATATACACGAGGCACCTCTCTGAACGGGCATGTGGCAGCAATAGTACTTTGCACACTCATGAAAGCGGTGGTCAAGTGTGGTAGCCGCCCGAGGCACACTTTCCTCCGTGTCGGAAGTTGGCAGGCGGTGTACGGCGGGCAATCCCGGACATTCAAGACACCAGAAAATTAACCAGGCGGGAGCGCATAAGCACCCCTCTGTGTCAGGGCGCCAACGCGTCAGGGCATCACCGCGTCTGGTATGGTGGGGTCAACACAGCTTTTGGCTGCGTAGTCAACGATTATCAAATAAACCGTAGCAGCTCATGGCTAGGGATCGAGAGGTGCAACCGTTAGTGTACGGCTAATCATGTCCAACCGTCTGCGGTGCCGGCCGGCCTGCTTGGCGGTGTTGACATGGAAGTAGATCGATCATTCGCCATGACCTCCAGGGCCGAGACCATACACCATGTCGCTGATCCCAGACAGGGTCTCTCCAGTGGAACCCCCATACCCGCACATTATTTATCATAGACACCTGAGGGCTTTGTGGGGTGAGCTGAAATCCAAGTTTGCGAGGGGACGTTTACGTCTACACTATAATGCGGTCACGCGTTGGAATGAACGTACTAGGGTCATCGGCAGAACCGCAGAGAAAACCACACCCTCTCCTACCGGGGCAAACCCAAATGGTAAATCATGACACCGTATGTCATTGATCAATGGTCAGGTGCACAATGTCCTCGATACGATATTGATACTGTAGTTACGGTTATGGCAACTGGAAGCACAGTATCCCTCTCCTGCTACCTATGCATTCATAATAGAGTATCCGAGAAATGGCCTTTGTAAAAGGCCTGGTGGGTGGCCTTTATATAGTGTTCTCCATCACTTGCTTCGAACATCTCATGAACCTTGTGTACTGTACCGTTAGTGCTCTCAAGAACTCTATTCTGGCATCTCTTCCAAGCGATTCATCCACCGTGATCGGTCCTACAGTGCATCAACTAGCCACGCGGAACGATACATACTGGCTGTCATTTTGTTGTGGGGAAGAAGAACATGTCTCCCCCGATGGCGCATCGTTCCCCGACGCCTATTCTGCAGCCCACTCCGCTGTCGGAGCTCACTTCCAGTCTCCTGTCAGATGACGCTGACTCTACATCGAACTCCTCAGCCTCTGTGACGCAGTGCCCATGTTGCGCCTCGCCCGTTATTCCAGATCTAGCCACGTTGGCCGAGACCATTCCAGACCGGGAACTCAATATGTCCACCACGCTTGAAGACCAGTTCCTAAACACCCTGAGGATCCAGCCAGGGGCCGAATCCACGGCTGAAGCGGTAGCAATCGTACCCCAAGACTGGCAGGCCACAGGGGATGAAGCAAAGGATCTGTTGCTTAGAACAGTGAGTGCAGCGCGGCCGCTGTTGATTGCACGGCACACCCCAAGCCTTGCATGCCATGCATGGGTGACTTTTCAGGGCAGGACCATTAGCGGGTGATCCCTCTAGCCCTCTGCCGAATTCGAGATAAGCAAATGGTGTATCTATGGTGTCAGACCGTTGCACCAATCCTGGCAGATCTTGATGAACGTTCGGTAATTGTGAATCTTGCGTGACCGCAAACTCTGGAAGGCTATCTGGAGCCCTTGAACCACCAACCATCCACGCCTGCCAAAACCATCGTGAAAAGCGCTTAAGGACGCATTCTTTCCCCATGGCTATCTCTTAGCGCGTAATACACTTCTAAGGTGATCTTTAGCCGTGACTTCTATCTGGCCACGAGTACCTTTGTTTCAATAAGAAGAGTATTGCCGAGCCCACACTGATGTCGGAAGGTGCGACGTGGAGCTGCTAATTGAATCTCATAATAGGACGTTTCCGGTGCAGGAGGTTTGCGCATGTGAGGCTGCAGAATCTAATTGACAAGAATGAACGGGAAGATCTGACAGCCAGGCAGAGGACAATAATAATATAGCTTAGCAATACGAAGAACGGCAAGAAAACTGTTTCCCCGCTCTGCTTTATTTTTATTATATCTAGTTCGACTCAAGCACCCTTGACGTGGCATCTAATGGTGCCATAAGTGGAGCACCTGAAATGATCATCGGATAACCTTCTACTATCTCATAATGACGTTTGTACTTCCGGGAGCGGAAATCCAGTCAAATAGAGTTTTAGCCACCCAACCAGTTTCCCCGCAGCAGTTATCTAGTAGTCAGGTGGCTGTATTTCCACCCCTGGTAATAATCCGCGCCACGTCCAAGGGTACGCCTTCAATTTAGTATTACGTTATCTTACGTATCACCGACCAGCTGAGATTGCGGGATCATATGTAAGGTTTCATCGCTTAGAGCCACTTTTGATCATCCGTGCTCTTTCCCGCACTCCAGACCCTGTGGAACGCAAGCTACGTGGTAATTAATTCTTGTTAGTTAAGTAAACGGATCTGGAGGTCTAACTTGTTAGTGGACTATGACCTTTGAGTTCACTGAAAAGGATTTAACCGTGGCTTCTCGCCTACAATAAACTGTTGCGCAGGTAAGAATTCAATCTCGGAACAATACACACCACATTGCAATTCATCTCATTTTTATTGATCAAATTTATGACTTCTTGCAGTGTACATTTCTGAAGATCTTGTTGAAAAGGAAACGGAGAGAACAAATTCTCTGGATATCAAATTGGTCTAACTAAACACTGGAAATATCAAATTGCCAATGTAGGTTTGTGCTTTCTTGCTTCAATCAACTATGTCACTAAAACAGATAATCTATTGGCAGAATGTCCTTGTCGCAATCGTCGCACACGTGTCTATTCTGTGAGAGTACCACAAAAGGTGGTCTTTTTTGCTCGAGGGAATGTCGCAGTGCTGTCCTCAACAATTCAACATCCACAATAATCCCTACAAGTTGCAGGAAAGAGAATTATACTGATAGTGAATGTGGATGGGAACCATTGACACATACCTCTGGAGATTATGAGAAGACCCAGAGGCCTACCTGCTTGGAGACAGACGAGAAGTCTCGACGCGAATTAAAGGGCTATGAAAGCTCATTCGATTGGATGAGGCTCTGGAGAAGACATGCTTTTCGTTCATAGATGGTATTTGGTCTATTTTACCATATTTACGCTAGCAAAACGTATGCTGTAATAAACTGCAGCGGGTCATAATCGTTCCTTAAGTCTAGGGACTGTTCAAAGTTTGAGGTTATAAAATCGTATCGAAGAGGTATGTAGACGGTATCAAGTACGCGTGGAGCAGTAGATTCATTCTAGTTATGCGCTAGTTATGATTGCAAAATGCTGCAATTACCCGATTTGTATACATCGAGTCTTGTCAAAGCGAGTTTCCTTTAAAGAATTTTTCATTGTGACGGGAAAGACCAATTTGACATTTACTATGGTGGTCAGATAGGATTACGACTTGGTTGCACCACCTTTTATTAAATGTCTTTCAATATGACTCAGTCAAAGAGGTGCGTAGAGATAAATGACACATAGATGATTTGCTTGAAGGACATATACTGGGTTATTATAGGTCCTGTAGTATACTTTTGTCGCCTATCTTCTAGGTATGCAGTAATAATGAACAAACTCGGCAGCGGCCGCGCAAGCCCTCGTCATGAAACAGCCTTTCCCAGTGAAGCTTCGAAGAGGCAGTAGCGCGATTCCGACCAGACTGTGGCTCTAAGTCATAAATGATCTCAAAGTTTGACCACACCATTCAGCACTCTTGAAACCAAGTATTCTACAATATGGATGTTCGGATTCAAGGAACGGTCGAGCTCGAAACCATCTTCAAGAAGAGGTACCATTGTTGTTTCCACCCTTGAATCTTGCATATCTCTTTATGTTCATTTATGTCGACTGTGTAAATATCTGGTAGGTCAAGTTGTGTATCCGACTGCAAGAAATCAACAGCAGATCGTAAGACGTGGTCCTATTCTGAACGCTCTTGAAATAGTACTATCAAGAAGACACGATTGTTGCGAAGATTTCGGTAGTGAGATAAACTGTTTTGTTGTTTATATTCAGCGAATAATCCTTGTCATCTTGGTTTTAACTTATGAAGGCACATACCTAGTGATCCTCATTAACTGTATTATCCTTAATATTGAATCTTTTTATGGCTCAAACCCAATATCCCAGGACCCAATCTCGCCACTGATAATGCTTTGGTTTGACAATGCGAGGTTCTAAATCATCTTTTTCACGGGTGCCCCTGTACATGTTATCGTGCAAGCATTATGACGGCATTGCCAAGATCTCTGTATCCATCCCAGCCAAGATCCATTCGTTAGACCGGCAAAGGATCCCGATCTTGAGTTCAGAAGCTTGTATTAATCGAATAGCTGATCTGGAAATTCGTTTTTGGAATTAGCATCAATATTAGGGCGTACATCGCTCGATGATTCGACAAGCTATGTAAATCGTTCGGCAGTGGTATTACGAACCGCGTGCTGGTTGTCAATATTAGAAAATGCGCGACCCAAAATGTAGCTTCAAGGAACTTTGTCGATTTATTACTACAACGTGGCAGAATCATCAGTCAAGCAAGTAATGGAAGTAAGTCAAAGTCAAGCATGCAACATCTTTGAGTATAGAATTCGGAAGCGTGGCAGTAAGTATATTGTCTGGTGATGAACAGAAATGACGCAGTCGCAATACTACATGCAAGGGCGGTAAGATACCGGCAAAACAGAGATTGAATAAGGTGGCATTTGATGATAATCACTGCTACGGATAGTTGGCGTATCATTGAGGAGAAATTCATCGGGGAGAAATTCATCGAAGTCTATCTGTCTGAACCTGAAGCGGCACTATTTTGACTCATGAGTTTTTAAACTCGGCCGTTGATGCGGTTCCTGTCGGCGATGTGATGATATTGCCGTCTAAAGGTGTATGCTTCAGATCGGAGAATTGTATAGTTGTGATGCTGTTGAATGTTCTTTTATTATTTTACACGTATACACGATCAGGTCGGAAGGTTGAAGACCAGGATGGCTGGCACATGTGTGGCGAATTCAAAAATCGTTTCTCAGTCTCAAAGTTCATGGAAAGAAATACTCTATGATACCTTCGCTTTAATGGGAACCGTACAGCATATCAATTCCTGCCACAGACGGTAACTAAGAGTATCTGTGAGTCCTCGACAAAGGCAGAAGGGGACAGGATGGAAAAGATGTGTGGTCAAGCCCGCCCGTCATATTTGGGATCGATCTCCCCAGAAGTTCTTTTTTTCCCGATCTTCGGCGTTTTCTGAGCCTGATTGGACTAGAGCAAGATTGGGACACATTCAAAGTACAGGGTGTGTGTGTGTGTATTCTTACGCTGGCCCCTCGCCCAAGGCGATATGCAGTGTTCCACTACCCTAATCTCTAGGTACATCCATTTTTTTTCCTGACTGTTTCCTTCGAGACGAACTTAGAGCCTCGTCAAGGCCTGTGTTGGCCATTGCCTCGGGTTATGTTCTGCGGTCCTCGTGGTGCGCGGCTCCGAAATCTTCGTGGCGCATCCGCAAAATCTAGGATACCAACAATGCTAGTGTCTTGCGAAGGCTTTCCTAGTACCTAGCCGAACGCGCCTGGGCCGGAGCCCGGGGCGCGCCCGAAAAGCCCCGGAGGGGGAGCATGACGAGAAGTGTGCACTCGATGGGGGTTGAACCCATGACCTTCGCATTAACGTAATCGGACAACGAACCGCCGGGACAACGAGCCGCCGGCGGTTGGCCGCTCCGCCCACCAAGATGCAATAACCGATTCAAAATGAAGCAATTCAACACTATACAGATGATATATACAGAATCAAACTAGGTGTTGACTTTATCTGGACATTTGAGGCGATTATGGCCCTCTCTATTGCAATTACTGCAGCGGGGTGGCCGGCCTTGAGTGCTTTGCGTAGCCTGCTTCTGTATAGCTTCAACATCCTTTTTTTTTTGAGTAATTTGACGTGCAGTATGGCCATCTAAAGTGCCTCCTTCTTGTAGACAGCGTTTTGAAGCCTTTCTATTATTCTTTTTATATTGGTCCACTGCACGAAGTTGATTTAGCTCCTGTTGAGGCAGTACGGCATTCTGCATTGCCATCTCCGCCCCTTTTTACACCTTTTCAAGCGCCTGATCAGCGATAACCAATGATAATCCTGCTTCCTGCAGTGTTTTAATCTCTTCCTTTTGGTGATTCAGTTGATAAAGAGTCAAAGGCGTTTTTCCGAGATACATAGATTGATTAGATGATGACGTTGAAGGCGGAGGAGGTGTTTGATTTGATATCTTGAGGTTTTGAAGCGCTCTTTCTGAATTGTACGGCGAAAGACCTGTTGCAGCGAAGCCTTGCTTTATATTTGCTGTATTAAAGGCTTTGAGGTAGACCTTTTTGTACTGATATAAAAACTCATATTTCTGTATATGGTGGATGTCTTTATCAGCTGCATCTTTGATTCGACGGCCGCACAGGGTCTTTAGCGGTGCAAAGCAAGCGACATCAAGTGGTTGAAGCTTGTGAGATAAATGAGGCGACATGTATAAAGGAATAATCAATCTTCCTTTTCAAAAAATTGATCAAATTCGACAGTTGAATGACGTCCGTGGCCATCAACGATACTGGCCCACTGTTTGTGAGGCTGTATATGCATCAAAGTATTGAAGCCAGTCAAAAGCGAGGTTATTATTCGTCTATCCGTTGTCACTAACGCTGATCCGCCAGTCATCGGGAATAGCTTCAAACCACTTCTCCTGCTGCATCTTGCCTGCAAAGATGATATGTCGAGGTAGTACGACCCCTGCTGCACTGATTGTAACGATCAGAGTAACCCATTCTCGATTCCCGCGTTGTATGAATCTTGCATTGGTTCCACGGGATTCAGCACCACAGGCAACCTTTGCAGTTGAAGCTATTCCCGTTTGAAATCCTGTTTCATCCATATTATAAGTATCGTTTTCAAGAACCACCGACTTATGAAACTGCGATCCTCGCATTTTGCACATTGATAATCAAACCGTTGAGTGTAGTCTGATGATGTTGGATGAATCGATTGACCCAGCGATCACTGATATAAGTGTCGATTTTGGTGTTTTCTGACTTCAATTTTGACGATAAAAGGATCTCTGCAAGATATCGTACTTTTGCAATGGTAGGCGGATAACCTCGTGAGCCTAATTCAAGGATCCTGCGCTTCAACACCAAGTCATCATTATTAGATAACTTTCGCAAATTCGCCTCTATTTGAGTACGGGGTTTGACTCCTTTCAACCGTCCCTTTAGAGTGCTTATCTTGACATCAAATGCTGCAGCACACGCTTGCTTAGAGGGAAATTGACCTCGATTAAAGGCCTCGCAGGCAAGCCCTAGCCTTTTATCTCTAGAGAGACCCTCCATACGTTTGATTAGCTTCAAATTTGGATGAATTAAGCAAGGTTGAATATTGCGTGTTGTAGAAGTTTGAGGCGGTGAGGGTCACCGGCGGCTCGTTGTTCCGGCGGTTCGTTGTCCGACTACGGTTATTTTGTTGGCGTAGCATGGAAGTGAATACGATACAAAAGGGCCTAATTACAAGTGTTTAGAGTGAAGAATAGGTTCCCGCTATATCAGATTTCCCTTAGGCCTAGACTGTAGTGTGAACATACCTTCTAGGGGTTACTTCAGGATCTAAAACGGTCTGGCAACTTGAGCACAGTTGCTGTGTACAGGAAACAGAATTCAGACCCAACTTTGGTCGTATCATGATATCTGTAAAGTGGGTAACAAGGTTGCACATACACTCGTGCATTTCTCATCCACGATAATTCTAAATCTGCCGGGGAAACTTTTTTTTGTTTCCACCCTTTTAGGTCCCTGTCTTGTTGGGCTAGAACTTTGAGCAATGTATCCAGTCACACCTTTAAAACTTGCTAACAATATCATAGTGGCATTCTCCTAGGCTTTAACAATCTGAGTGCCCTATATAAAGCGAATAATCAATCCCCGCGCACTTATTCACAGCAATTATTAGATAAACAACGAGGAAGAAGTTGAACTTATACTCTTTTAGTTGTCCCACAACATGTGGTAAAATCTCTTGTTACAGAAAGGCTGCTGTCTATGGCCACTTGGAAGCACAACATCTTAATGTAACTTGGCTGTCAAGAAGACTTCCAGCTTAGTAGCTATTTCTAAATATGTAGCCTAGCATTTCTCTATTACGTATAGGATACTCACACCTGTATGTTAATAGTGGAACCAACATCAGTGCGGTAGGTAAAGTGGCTGTCATACGGAATTTTAAGTCAGAATATATCTGCAATTAATTGATTTTACGGGCTGTTCACACGCAGTAGACTACGTTATCATTTTAAGTCAATCTAGGTTTAGTATTGATATCATCATTATGAGATCATACTTTAATCGTGCTTGGTTACCTTCTGGTAGTTAGTATTCAAAGCGCCTTATAATAAAAGTATATTGTGTTTAAAAAATATGGAAAAATTGGTGAAGCTACCCAATGTCTTCTTTCAAGTATTTTTAGTGAACATATTAACTTTCAGCCTCTAGGATCCTGTTATTATTGAAGAATAACACCATTAAAAAAACAGCTTTATATGGCATTACGAGATGGGCCGCCCAACCGTGTGAGCTGCGCGACCGTGGATTACCGTTGATTTAGGTCAGGTGAGATGACTGTCCGTGTAGATCGTATTTTGAGTTCATCGTATTGGCTTTGATGACCACCGCAGGCACCAGAAAGCTCCAATGATGGACACCCTATGCTTGGACTTCAAATCTGTGCTCAAGGTTTACCGGATTTCATAGGGCACATTAGAATACGTTCGCAGCTGTTCTAAGACGCCAAGACACTTTACGAGTCACTTGGAGTAGCTCAGAACGGTGCGATCCTATTCTAGCATCCTTCCATCACAATTTGCCTAACGAACTTGAAATTGCCACCAGCAAGGGAGTATTCGTATTTTACTTGAACGATGAAACCAGTTGTTAAGGAAAGGCTATTTTAGTATGACGTCGTTGATTGATTTTAGATGTTCTATTGATAGGCTATAAATAATTATGTATCAGGTCGATATCACTCATCTTTATTCTCCGATCATGACTACCCCTTAGTAAAGCATCAGAACAACTCAACTATCAAAATGCCAATGAGAAGACGAGTACACACAACATATTCTTGGGCCGCGCTAGAGGAACTCGAAAGACCTATGGGCAACAAAATCGAAACCCCAATCCCCCTTCAAGAACTTATGAATGCTCTAGCAAAGTACGTGCTTCAGATTACCAAGTAATCGATACATCACCTCTCTCCCGCAAACGGAGTTTGTATATCAACTGACCGAATATCAGCATGCGTCTCAACCCAAAATACAGTGACTTCACCATTTTGTGTGGTGATGAGTCCTTCCCTGCCCATAAATGTATAGTCTGCCCGCAATCAGAATTCTTCTCTGGTGCCATGGATGCAGATTTCATTGTAAGCAGCCAGAGTGGCCTGCCGTTTTCGAGTCATCTGTCTGACTTGGGAATAATGCAATAGGAAGCTACCACCAATACCGTCGAGATCCAAGAAGATCCGACTTTGATGAAGCAGGCGATTGAGTACTTATATACTTTGGACTACCAAGTCATATCTCACAATACAACAAAACGAAGTCACGGACATGGCAATGGTTCGAGCCTTACAAGCTCGAGTCGCCAAATTCCTAATGGTGAAGTGGTTACATCTACACTGCAGGGAGCTCGGGAGACCTCAAATCAATCTCCTGATACAACCGATGCTGGAGATACTACTCGTATGCTCGACCCTCTCTCATCCCACATACAGATATACTCTCTCGCGGACCGTCTCCTCATTACAGGATTGAATGCCCTCGCCCAAAAAAAGGTTGAACATGAAATGGTTCAAAGACTAGACGCGACTTCGTTCCCGCAGGCAGTCTTGGAAATCTACAATTCAACGCCTAAAAGTGACAGAGGTTTAAGGGACCTTGCCGTGGACATCACTATGCGTAACCTTACTACTTTGAAGGCGAAAAGATGAGACAGCTGATGCTATCTTGCAAGACACTCTCCTTGATTCCGTTCCACAATTCGCACGTGACTTGCTGATCGCGATGATGAAGAAGTCCGCGACCGCATGAGGTAAAAGTGAGAGCTGTGGAAGGAACAGGACTGAGCAGAATAAATGGTAAGGACAGAACTGCCAATGTAGGTGGAAACGCAACCAGAGATACTCAATTTATCGGACGACATTTCTGCATACCGAAGTATATCACTGCCTTGATCCTTCTTTAGTTGAGAACTGAGATATATCTACTGCTTCATTTAGCTGCTTTACAAGTGTTCTGACATGTGGACTCGGTTCTATGGGCTACTATAGCAACTAAGTCGTGTCTCTAGGAGAAGAACAACACACTTCATGCACCTGATCACTGATACTGCATTTCGCGCCTAAGAGGTACTCTCCTGGCTCACCTACTGAATAAGACAGACAGGATGCCTATTTATTGCAAGCTTTAAACTCTCTAGTTACATGTATTTGCCAATTCATCCTCTTTAGAACTTCGTAGTTCTTTATGACCTGACTGCACATGAATATTTTTCCTTTCTCATCGCCGAAGGACCAAGTAGTCTCTTCAAATCAATCATCAAAGATGGTACTGTACTATAAAAAATCTTGGGATCCAAGAATGATACGAACCTAGATCCAGTCTTTATGCAAAGAGCGAGTGAGGTGCGGATACTGTACAAGTCCGCACGACCAGCGCCGCTGCTTCCCAGGGATCAGGCCCAGATGTTCAGACTGCAATGGAGAGCACCCGACAGGAAACCGGACATGCCAGGCATCACTGATTCCTCGGTCTTCCTCCCAATGACAGCAAATCTCCGAATCGTACAATTGAACATGATGAAATCTGGGGCAGGAATGGAAGCCCTCATCAACGACCACCACAGCCAGAACCTCGGCCTTCTCCTAATCCAAGAACCACCTACAACCGCATACGCATCCACGTCTGGCACAACCCGCTCTGAGACAATTTACATCTGCGGCTTCTGGAGACAGTACAGAGAACAGCTCTTACCCGAATCCTTTCAGCCTTCCGCACAGTATCTACGGCTGCACTCAAAGTTGAGACCTATATCCTACCAACTCACTTGCGACCCAAATAGCGGGGACAAGTAGTGTCTGCTCGCCTAGTACTCTGCCAGATGACCATCCGATGCACGAAGTAATGAGGCGAAAAGAGCCCCGTGGTAGCTCATACCAATCGCACAAGGCAACATTTGATCCATTTTATTCCTGCTTGATCACCCCCGACTGTGAGATAGACCGGGTCTGTTGCAAGGGTTCCATTATCATTGGCAGAACCGATGAAAGAGAGATCTTTCGCTGGCGCTCGTTTTCTGATCGCGGAGGCACGGACCCTGAGGTGCTCCTGGTGATCTCTCCTCTTTGCCTTAGACGCTGATCAGTGAATGGCCGCCGGTTACTCCGGGCTTGGGTTTGCTGGGGCATTGTTGCTGTTGTTCCTCGTTCTGGCTTTCGTCTTCCTGCTTTAGGGATAGTTGCTGCCCTTCCTGGTGGTGAATCTGTTCCGAAACGTGATTTGTTTGCGTCGATTGCGATCCGCCATTGCGCGGTGTTGGCTGAACGGCTTGGTTCTGGCTCTCCTGGTTATGACCTTGGTGGGGACGCTGGAACGTGGTTGGATTGTGACGAATTCGACACCCTACGGTGCGGCACTCGCTGACTGACCTGATTCCGTTCTCCTTGATGTTGAGCGTGGCTCGCCAGCGGCACGTGCACCACATGGTCTGTTTGCGCCACGTCTGACACCGTATCATGCTGCGCTGACTGAATAGCTGGTTTTCGCTGTTGGGAGACCGCTTGGCTCTGTCCAGAGTGATTGGAGTTCGCGCCCTGTGTTCCGCCTGACGACATTTGGGCCACGACCTGGGATTGCCATTGCTCCAGACTATTTACGCGTTGCAGTAGAACATGTTGCTGCTGGCACATAAGACCAATCATTTGTCGCATTTCCGGTTGGTATAATGCTTCCTGCTGTCTTATAGTCGCCGGGGAAAGCTGCTGTTGGGCGCTTGCATTTCGAACACCTATAGTTTGCTGTAGTGCCAAGGCTTGTTATGATGTCCAATGCCGCATCGGCCCTAATGCTTGTTGTTGTTGGAGCGGGAAAGGGTAGCCCCCGTGCGGCCGGAACTGCACGGGTAAAAGCTGCGCTGAATGCGCGAGATTGAATATTCTTTGACAACTGGGACAAACAGCCAGCTGGTCTCCAGGGCCTCGAGGTAAAAGACGAGATTGCTGACAACCGGGGCAGATGTATGCCCGAGGAGTGGTAGGCACTTGGAGATTGGCATACATTTTCGCGAGAAGTTAAATTTCAAGTTGAGCATGAATCCTTGAGAGCCGATCTGGAATAGTGACAAGGATGGTTGGGAAAACGGCTTTTATTATGAATGGTCGTGATCCTCGATTATACTGGCATGCAATTGCATGGTGAATACTATGCTTCCTTCAATTATTGAGTTTGCTGAGCGGACGATTCGATCAACCTATGATGAACTGCTTAGTGGGGTCAATAGAGAGGTTAAATTGACGGTGCAAAGACCGGAGGATACGATGAAGTTCCGAATCGCTGGCTTGCTGCTGGAGCTGACCCGCCCGGATGGCATTGAAAGTCTGTTCAACACATCTGTTCAAAACATCCGCTCATACAGCGGTTTGGATATCTACCTGCATTATTATAAATTTCGGTGGTACTGGAGCGGCCATTTTTAGCGTTATTTGCGGCCGAAAATGGCAGCTCCAGCCCTTTAGCTGACTCCATCGCGGTGCAGATAACATGACCCACGGTCGCTCGGCCTTATGCTGTAGTGCCATCCAGATGATGCTTGTTACGGACCCCTGCTAGTTAACCTGCTAGGGTGAAGCGGACACGCCAGGCAGAATGCGCCGATAACGACGACGCAGAGACTAACAACTCTGGAATGGCTGTCGGAACATATTGCCCTCCGGTACCGCCTGCTCCCAGTGGTCGACCTTTCTTAGTAGTTAGTAGTAAGCTAGATAGTTCGCTAGGCGACCGTACGGGCCACCCAATAGGCAAGAATACACTCACTTCCCGCAACGGCCATGCATCATGTGACACGGATATACCGTCATGTACGCCAAGTAGACCTCGCCAAAACCCGCCCAAGAACCAACCCGCCCGCCAGATACCCGACCCACGGGTTGGGTCGGGTCTTAGTCAGCAAACCCGCGGGCGGGTCTCGAGTTAGTCAACCCGGCCCAAAACCCAACACGGGTACCCGTGTAACCCGCAAAAGCAAAAAAAGGTGATAGATCACATTGCATAAACTTGTGC